CTGCCGTTTACTAACTAATCATATGTACGTGTATTGCTATCTATGCATCTTTTATAGGTTAGTGTCAATTGATCATTAACACAACTTCAGACCCCGCTATCCTAGCAATGGCGAAAGAAGTTAGGCCCCATATTTTCACGGTTATCATCACCGAGAAAAGGGGTAACGAGGCTATTGTAGTAACAGCAACTGGGTTTGTGATCAATAAGAGAGCAAATGGTAACTACGTACTCTTGTCTTGTGAACATATAATTCGAGGTAAAGAGAATTTCTACCACTGGACTGACCGCATATCTGGAGGACTCTAGCAACTCTCGGCGAGGCTAGTATGGGCTGATCACAATGCGGACCTCTCTGTCCTAGAAGTCTACGGACAAATCTAAGGTGCACAGGCTCTGACTTTTTTCCAGTATCTCCGGTGCCCATTGGGGACAACACAATTGACGTTGGCTATTGCACTCCACGAGCATATCTACGTAGGTCGACATTCACTAGGTCCCAGCTGTTTCACCACGAATTCTAAAGTGAGTTTTTTCTTCATGCAAAATTCACATTTTGTGTAAACTAGCCCATCAATCTTACGCTAACATTCTTCTTCTTCTTCTTCTTCTTATACTGAAAGATCAACTGAAACAAATGCAAGCAGTACACCCGTACAAGCAGTTCTTAGTTGTGTAGGCATGCAGGGCATGTCCGAGGAGGGGGGCGTAATGAGCACCGATGGTGTCTTTGTCGTCGTTAGCACTGGAGAGTACATTGTTGGAACTAGCATCCTGAACGGGTTACAAAAAGAGTAGAGGGTAATGCACAACTAGTGCGTAGAACACATATGAAAAGTCACTAGTACAGATGAGTAGTATAGTATGTGGTATTGATATTTGGTTGTTCTTGTTTCTGTATCGAATGGATATAAAGCTTGGCGGTGAGTGGAGGGACACATTATGATTTGAGAGCACGCAAATAAGTGAGTGGGTGAGAGTCTTTTGTCCTCGTGCCCTTGGCACTATATATAGCTAGGTAACAGTTATTTTCATGCGTGCTCGTAGTGGAGTTGGATTTCACATGCTACTATACTAACATCTATTGGGCCTCTTCTAGGGTGGACTTGGACCATATACCATATGGGTTCCCCCAACAGTGGCCCCCTCAGCTATTAGGGTATGACTGTACTACATGATCTAGTAGATGCTCATACAAGAAGAGGCACAATACAACTCGAACCTTGGTTGTGAGGATCACCCTTCGCAACCTACACATGCACGCTGAAGGGACCATGTCGGTGTTTGATGACTAGCAACACGTCATAGGGTTACCCGGGACGATGCTTGATGGGCTTCAGCGTATGCAGAACTCGGCGGTGAACGCGAAGACAATGATTTATACTGGTTCAGGCCACTAAATAGCGTAATACCTTACGTCCAGTTTGGCGTGTAGCCTTGTGTTGGATTGCTTTGTGTGATTTGATTACAAGGGGTCCCCCTGCCTCTCTTTATATAGTCTGGAGGGCAGGCGCATTGATCTAGTCCTAGTCAGTTACGACATAAGAGTTCTAGTTCTATTACATAAGCTAACTTTTCTAGTAATCCGACTAGGTCGGTCTTTGATAGCTTGGAGTACACGCCACCTCATCTTGTATCTTCAAGCAAACCGTGGACCGACCCATGTCCATGGTGGGTAGTCAGCCCCATGGTCTGTTAGACCGTGACGCCTAAGAAGGGATGAATTAGGCAATTTAAAAACTATTTATCTAACTATGGCCTCTTTTTCTAACAATATAGTAGGCAAAATTAGTGCGTCAAAGTGCGGAGGCCTAGAGATATTCATCCTTCCCTCTCTAAATGGCGTCGGCTCAATGATGATGAAAGCCAAAGGTCCAAATATGAGCCAACCTGAGTCCAATACCAATTGAAGAGACCATGATGTCTAAGAGGGTGAGGATGAATTAGAAAACTTAAAAACTACTCCCTCCATGTTCCTAAAGAAAGTCATTTTGAGATTGTCTTAAGTCAAATATTTTAAACTTTGACTACAAATAAAGTCTTTTGGGTTGAGTTTGAAAATATGAAAATGATGTAAGTAGATTCATCTCAAATATAAAAGTACATATTGATAATATTTTATAAAGTATTTTATAGCAAAAAGTAGCGATCAAAGTTGTTTTTGATATTGTGTAGATGTCCAAAAACAACTTTCTTTAGGGACATAGAGGGAGTATTTCTCTAACTATGACCTCTTTTTCTAACCTTAGCAAAACCTATGCAATTAAGTAAACTATCTAAATGTGCAACTACAGTTCGCTAGTGTGTTGCTATCTCTATCACAAAAGGAGTTATGCGACCTAGATTCCAATCCTATTAACTAGCCTACCAACTAAACTAGAAAAGGTAAAGCACACAACCAAAGATTACAATGTAAATATGAAAGCTAAAGATGAAGTAGAGATGCAAACTCCTTTCGACGACTCCGGTATTTTTACCGAGGTATAGAGAAGTGCGCAGGATTCTTCCTAGTCCTCGTTGGAGCCTCTCGCAAGGAAGCTCTCACAAGGACCAAGCTTCCAGACGGGTAACTCCGTGGATATCCTCGAGCCTTCCCCACGCGAAAGTGGGTCTCTGATGTGCCTTGCGGCAAGCCTTTCCTGGACCGCTCCCCACCATCTTCACTATCAAGCTTCCGGCTGAAACGCTACAGGCCTTGTTCCCTCCGGTACATGATGGCGGGCACACCACACGCACAGTTGTGTGGTTTCGCAAGACTACAAGCCCCGCTGAGTACAAACACGGTGCGTGCAAGAACCTTTGATCAAGAGGTAAGCAAACCTCACTAAACACTAGGCCTAACATCTAGAGCTAGCGCATAAGCATGGTCTAACTAGCCTAAGCACTTTGCAAAACCACCTACACTAATCATCTAATCTTCTCTTAAGCAATTATGGTGTTTGGAGCACTTGGTGGTGTGTCTCAACACCTCTCTCACTTTGGCACACTCCAACAACACTAAAATGGCCGGTTGGGGTCCAATTTGTAGCCCCAAGATGAGAACTATCCGTTGGAAGCCACACAACTTTTGTAGCTATCATCGGACTATCCGATGCACACAGAGGCTCAGGGCGCGCAGCTAGGGTGTGTAACCCATCGGACAAAGGCGTGGCAGAGCATCGGACGCAAGTCCTTTTGTCCGATGCCCCTATGGCTTCTCTGTCCGATGCTTCTGTAACATCTTGTTTGACTTGTTTCTTTGTGGCCTTTTGTGTCAGACTTGGTTCCTACTTGTGCCTTGAACTTTTGCTTGTCTTTTAGGTCTTCAACATTGCTTTAATGTCTTGCTTGAGGTGTTGATCACCCAGATCACCACGTCGCCTAAGTCCAAGCCACCTTTGCACCATATTGAACTACAAAACATACACTTGCAAACACATTAGTCCAAGTTGGTTATGTTGATCATGAAACACAAAAATCCAAACTAAATGGGCCAAGGGTCCATTTTCCTTACACGTGCCTCACAAAAAACTTCATCCCAAAAATCATGTGGGAAAAAGGGCATAGAGAGAAGAACACGCGCACAACCCTAGCCTATACATGTTCTAATTCCCGAGGCTTCTAGCTCCAAGTGCCTTGATCTTCATGATGTCTTCGTTTTTGGGCTTCGGCTCCTTTTGTCGCTTCTATGACATGGTTTATGAGCTTCACTTGGTGTGCAAGTCTTTGCCTTCGGGACCTTCATCTATGATATCTTCTCGGTGCACAGGTCTTTGTTTCTAGGGCCTTCTCGACGCGCAGGTCTTCGTCTCTGAGGCCTTCATCACCGGTATCTTCTCGGCGCGTAGGTCTTCGTTTCCGGGGTCTTCTCAGCGTGCAATTCTTCATCTCTAAGGCCTTCGTCGCTGATATCTTCTCTTTGGAAATGGATGTAGTTGTTGCAGTTGAAGTAGTAGATGAAGTCGAAGTAGTCGTAACCAAAGGTTGCTGTGACCTCCAAATCTTCTCACGAGCGCTGGACAAAAGACTTCACACTCCGGAATGGCAGGTCCTCCGGTATGCTCCCCTAGCCCCTCTTGGCTGGCGCTCATGACCGAATCCTCAGTTGTGCTTGGTGTAGTCAATGTAGTCATAGTAGTGGAAGTAGATGTTCGGACAGAAGTTGTTGGTGAGCCCATCAAGTCAAAGTGGTTGACGAAGGTGTAGTATACCTCGGTGCCGATAGAGCGGATGTAGCCCCTTGAGCTTGACGACGGAGGCAAGTCATCGTAGATGTCAACGAAGGCTCTCGAGCCGTTGTAGTGGTTGAAGATGATGGCGAAACCCCTTTCCTACGTCCTCCCACCTTCGAATTCGCTGTTGGATGCATGCGTATATTTCATTGCGATTGGATCGATTTTCTCGAGAAAGATCGGGAGTTGAGATAAAGAGCTACTGGAGAGCAGATTTTCCAATCTTGCAAAAAAAATCAAGATTGAAAGTGGGATTTGGAAACTCTTGGAAAACATACCGATAGAGTTCTTTATTTATTTTATTTAATTGACATATTGTTTTATCAAAATGATTCTTATAAGTTTTTGAGATGCTCCTACTCCAAGTTGTACTCTTGTTTCTCTTTGCCAACGAATACCAAGGTCTCCTTAAAAAATAGTTCCAACTTTGTGAAATGAATGAAATTAACAGAAACACCCGAGAATATTCTTGTTCCGGCAGACAGCAGGGGGCAATAACAGGGATCCCCTTTCCCCCCAAGTCCCCAAGCAGCCGCGAAGAGAGATCCCGCGCTCAACCACCGCTTCTCGGCCGCGGCCTCCCTCGGCCCCTCCCTTCCTCCTTCCCTCCGGCGGCCGCCGGGGACGGGGAGCGAAGAAGACTCCCTTCCTCCTTCCCTCCGTTGGTCGACGGGGACGGGGAGCGAAGAAGACTCCCTTCCTCCTTCCCTCCGTTGGTCGACGGGGACGGGGAGCGAAGAAGCCTCCCTTCCTCCTTCCCTCCGGTGGTCGCCGGGGACGGGGAGCGAAGATGTTCTATGGGGCCATGGTGTGGGACCCGTGGCTGATCGTGTCGCAGATCGTGTGCCTGCAGTGCCTCTACTACCTGTCGCTGGGCGTCGCCATGGCGCTCCTCGTCGGCACCCGCGTCCCGCGACTCACCCTCCTCTACCTCTTCGACTTCGCCACGCTCACCCCGCGCACCCCCACGGGTTGGTGCGCCATCGCATCATTCCTCCTCGCCGCCGTCGCAGGGTACTCCGCAGCTCCCTAACCCCGCTCTCATCCACTTGGTTCGTCCGAAACTAGAATGGATCTTCTGGAAGTAGTCAAAACGCGAAATATGCCTGTCGCGCGCGCGTGTGCTGTGGCTTATCGCTTCCGAGTGCGAAAACTACTCTTGTCAATGGAAAGTTAAGCGGGCTGTGTGTTCCCATGTGTCCAGATCTGTACGTTTAGGGCAGCTACAGTGACTTGAAAATTTCAATTTCAACGTCTTTATAAATTGCTATTTCTTTAAGCACTAGTTAAGTGCAAGAGCTCAAGGGTAATGTTGGAGCAATTGGTATTGACATATGTAGAAAGTAGTGCGTATAAAGTTTTTGGTATTATTGTCATGAGCCCTATTCATTTTGCCATCCATTGTTTAGTAGCTACCATATGTATTATGAAATACTCATAGGTGTTCTAGTGTGCTCGCGAGTAACAGATACCTTAGTCTTCTTGTTGATTGCTTATTCTTGAGCCATACACCATTACTTGCTTATATAAAAAATAAATGCCACAAACATATTGCACATTTCTTAAATACTTTTGTGATGAATGGGAGTAAGAGTAAGCAGGCCGTATGCAAAACATGCCCCCCTGCATTCGTTCTTTTCTGACAGGATAGTGGCAGTACATACAAGGGACAAGGTAAAGAGGAAAACATCTTTTTTGCTGCCTCACACGATCACTCCTTCCCCAATTAGACCGTACCAACCTTTGCAATTGACTAATTTCCTTAATATCTGGTGTCCAATGTATCCATTTTCGAATTAAAGCATCTCGAGCAAGTATCAAAACAGCAGAATACCAATTGCTCTTTTCCTGTAATGCGTATTTTTAGAGTCTAGCTACTCGGATTAACCCATTTTTTTAGACAGTACCTTTCTTCTGGATAATTTTGTGAACTGAAGCAACAATATGAAGGATAAAGTAATGATTTTGATCCCATTTTAGCTTTGACAGTTTGGTATTATTTATTGTTTTCCAAGATTTGCAACTCTTATTTGTTTTGGTGAGAAATGATTTATTGCTAATCTTGCTTTCATGCTTTGCTTGAGCAGAGCTGGGTTCATGCTTTATGTGATTGAGAGAGCCAAGAAGTGCCTGGACTTTGCAGCAACACTCTACATAATCCATCTCTTCATTTGCATTGTTTATGGTGGATGGCCAGCTTCAATTACGTGGTGGGTTGTTAATATCACTGGTTTGGCAATCATGGCTCTCCTGGGTGAATACCTATGTATTCGGCGGGAGTTGAAAGAAATTCCAATATCACGGCTTCGTGCAAGTAAGTGATTCATTCATATTAAATGCCTTTTTGTTTCCTTTGGATACTTTGTTTGTACATGTAGACTCTATTCCAATGTATTTGCTTACCTAGTTAGCCTCTCACTTATTTTTCTGTGCGCAAGAGTCTGGTTCAGCAAGAATTTTACATTGAATTGAAAGTTCGCATATGCTTACAATGAACTCTGAAGCAATGAACATGTTACATTTTTAATAAGGTTACATTCCATCATTTTTCTAGCAACATTAATTTTGCAACTTAACCGTGTCCAAATACTTGATCTACCATTTACCTATACCTTTGATGGCCACTAAAAGACCTCACACTGTACTAGTGTAGTGGTGGGACATACTGTGTCAGTATAATGTAATGTGAACATTCTGAAAAGATTTCTGGCCTGGTTATTTCACTCATGGACCTATAGAGAAGGGAGTGCAAAAGTTCAAGTAGAGAGACATAACAAGTGTATGCCCACTGCTCAGACATGCTCAACTAAGATTGCTTGTTTATTTGGCTAATGCCTTTACATTTTATGTGCTATATAGTTTGTTGCGCTAATGTCAAATGTATGCCAAGTTGCCAGTGGCATGAAGTCACTAACGACAACTTGTCTCCTGATCATCGTCATCTGTATGGGGTAGTTTAGTTTGAAGCGTTGACATGATACAGGACCTGGTTTTCTTGTTTGGATTAACTTCGTGTTCAATTACTGGCTGCAGTATAATGATATTCCTGCTATGGCATTTAAGATGTTGCTTCTTTCTTTCTCATTTTATGACAAACGCAGTAATCTTCATCAAACCATAGACGTGCTGAAGCTTAAGTTTAACTGACATTTTCATTGATATTTTTAAATTACAATTGTTGGTGTTCACCTGAGTGGTTCTTCTGAAAGTTCTGACAAGCTGTACTTTGAGGGAAAAGAGTACTTCCTGGCCATTTGCTGAGTTAAGGTTCTTCCCCTGAGTGATCCTCCTGAAAAGGGAAATGCTCTGAGTACAATAACAACAACAACAACAACAACAACAAAGCCTTTTAAGTCCCAAACAAGTTGGGGTAGGCTAGAGTTGAAACCCAGCAGAAGCAATCAAGGTTCAGGCACGTTAATAGCTGTTTTCCAAGCACTCCTATCTAAGGCTAAGTCTTTGGGTATATTCCATCCTTTCAAGTCTCCTTTTATTGCCTCTAACCAAGTCAACTTCGGTCTTCCTCTGCCTCTCTTCACGTTACTATCCTGACTTAGGATTCCACTACGCACTGGTGCCTCTGGAGATCTCCGTTGGACATGTTCAAACCAGTGTTGGACAAACTTTTCTTCAATTGGTGCTACCCCTAATCTATCACGTATATCATCGTTCCGAACTCGATCCCTTCTTGTATGACCGCAAATCCAACGCAACATACGCATTTCCGCGATACTTATCTGTTGAACATGTCGTCTTTTCGTAGGCCAACATTCTGCACCATACAACATAGCAGGTCTAATCGCCGTCCTATAAAACTTGCCTTTTAGCTTCTGTGGTACCCTTTTGTCACATAGGACACCAGATGCTTGGCGCCACTTCATCCACCCTGCTTTGATTCTATGGCCAACATCTTCATCAATATCCCTGTCTCTCTGTAGCATTGATCCTGAATATCGAAATGTATCCTTTCTAGGCACTACTTGACCTTCCAAACTAATATCTTCCTTCTCCCGAGTAGTAGTGCCGAAGTCACATATCATATACTCAGTTTTAGTTCTACCGAGTCTAAAACCTTTGGACTTCAAAGTCTCCCGCCATAACTCCAGTTTCTGATTCACTCCTGTCCGGCTTTCATCAACTAGCACTACATCGTCCGCGAAAAGCATACACCAAGGGATGTCCCCTTGTATTTTCATCTCCATTAGAATAGCTAGATTTAACGTTGGCTCGTCACGCCTATCACAACCCTCCTTTACCAGGGCTTGGGACCTGCTATGTTGAGACAACATAGACGGAGTTAAATGCTCTGAGTACAATCATTTGAATATAATTCAATTTTTTTTCTCGAACATGCAGGAGAGCTGTGTATCATTTATAAGGAAAAAGGTGTATGAGAAACACAAAACAACAAAGATAACACGACAACACATCCTGACACGCATAGCCACAACTATCCCACACACACTCACTAACAGACACTCCCAAACACACAGTCACAAGTCCACACACACTCACAAATAAGTGACGGATGGCCAAGGAGCCAACAATTAGGCAACACCAAGTATCTGTTCAATCAACAAGGTGATGCCCCTAGCACTCACTACACCCCATAACCTTACTTCTTCGAACACCGCAGCTAGGGCTGTGCAGATTAGGCAAAGCACCGGTGATGCCCCTAGCACCCACTACACCCCATAACCTTTCTTCGAAGACCAAAGCTAGGATACCCTGCAGATTAGGCGAAGAAGCATCAAAGGCACACCACCGATTCCAATGGGTCCAAAGCGACCAGGCTCCAAGAATTATTAAGGAAGTAAGAGCCTGCCTATCCTGACCAGCGGCAATCTCACTAGATCAGCACCACCAAACTTCAAAGGAAGGCTCAGCCAGCTGGGGAGCAAGGTTCTGCAGTCCAAATTTCTGGAAGAGTTCAAACCAGAAATGCCTAGAGAAGACACAATAAACCAGTAGGTGATTGGTGGTTTCCTCTTCCTGCACAACAACAACAACAACAGCATAGCCTTTCAGTCCCAAGCAAATTGGGGTAGGCTAGAGTTGAAACCCACCAAGAGCCCCAAGTCACGGTTCAGTCACTTCAATAGCTGCTTTCCAAGTATTCCTATTCAAACATAGATCTCTAGGTATATCCTAAGCTTTCAAATCTCTTTTTATTGCCTCCCTCCATGTCAATTTCGGTCTTCCTCTACCTCTCCTCATATTATTAGCTTGGCTTAGGACTCCACAATGCACTGGTGCCTCTAGAGGTCTCCTTTGGACATGGCCAAACCACCTCAACCGATATTGGACAAGCTTTTCTTCAATTGGTGCTACCTCTAGGCGATCACGTATATCATCGTTCCGATCTCGGTCTATTCTTGTGTGACCGCAAATCCATCACAACATACACATTCCAGCAACACTTAGTTGTTGAACATGTCGAATCTTTGTAGGCCAACATTCTGCTCCATACAACATAGCCGGTCTAATCGCCGTTCTATAGAACGTGCCTTTTAGCTTTTGCGGTACCCTCTTGTTACAGAGAATGCCAGAAGCTTTTCGCCACTTGATCCACCCTGCTTTGATTCTATGGCTAACGTTCGCATCAATATCTCCATCCCTCTGTAGCATCGATTTCAGATACCGAAAGGTATCCTTCTTAGGTACTACTTGACCTTCCAAACTCACATCTCCCTCCTATACAACTCCGCCAAAGTCGCATTTCATGTATTCGGTTTTAGTTCTGCTCAATCTAAAATCTCTAGTTTCGTATTTACTCCCGCCTGGCTTTCGTCCACTAACACTACATCATCAACGAACAACATACGCCAAGGGATATCCTCTTGTATTTTCCTGGTAACCTCATCCATTACCAAGGCAAAGAGATACGGGCTTAAGGCTGACCCTTGATGAAATCCAATTTTAATCGGGAAGTAATCTGTGTTACCATCGTTTGTTCGAACACTAGTCACAACATTGTCGTACATGTCCTTGATGAGGGTCATGTACTTTGATGGGACTTTATGTTTGTCCAAAGACCACCACATAACATTTCTTGGTATCTTGTCATAAGTCTTCTCCAAGTCAATGAAAACCAAGTGGAGGTCCTTCTGCTCTCTAAACCGCTCCATAACCTGTCTTATTAAGAAGATTGCTTCTTTGGTTGACCTTTTGGGCATGAAACCAAATTGGTTTGTTGATATCTGCGTCATTCCTCTCAGGCGTTGCTCGATGACTCTCTCCCATAACTTCATAGTGTGGCTCATCAACTTAATTCTCCGATAATTAGTACAATTTTGGATATCTCCCTTGTTCTTGTAGATTGGTAGCAATATGCTTCTTCTCCACTCCTAAGGCATTTTGTTCGATCGAAAGATATTGTTGAACATCTTGGTTAGCCATACTATAGCTATATCCTCGAGACATCTCCACACCTTGATTGGGATACCATCAGGGCCCATCGCTTTGCCCCCTTTCATCCTTTTCAAGGCTTCTCTGACCTTCGATTCTTGAATCCTCCGCACAAAGCGCCTGTTAGTGTCATCAAACGAGTCGTCCAGCTGAACGATGGTGTTCTCGTTCTTACCATTGAACAATTTATCAAAATACTCTTGCCATCTATGTTTGATCTCATCCTCCTTCACCAAGAGCTGCTCCCTCTCATCCTTTATGCACTTGACTTGGTTGAAGTCCCTTGTCTTCCTATCGCGAGCCCTAGCCATCCTATAAATGACTTATGAGGTTTCCATCAAAGTGATCTGATCTGTTGGATCTTAAGTAACACTCAAGTTGTACTCAAATGGTTGTACGCATAGCAGTGCTCTTCTGAATTTCTGATAATATGATCCAAATAGGTCATTTTATGAAAATAAGAGCTTCTAGCCTTTTCTAGTCTTGTCTACTTTGTACACATTGGCAACTCATGCCAACTAACATTCAATTGGTAATACTGCCCAATGTTTGGGGTTTAAGGCTACAAAGCCAGCATGGCTAAAACCATTGGGGACTCAGCTGGGAGAGGAAATAAAGTGGGAACTATGGGTTACTGGTTTGGGATTCTGATAAGCTTTCAGTGTCGGAGTTAGGATTTTTTATTGATCACTGCAGCACTGAGGCATAGGCCACCTAAGATCAACTTCTGTATCTAAATTTAGAAAGCTATAGTCTGTCAATTGGAACAAATGCTGCCATGCATCATTACTGGCTCATCATTTTCTGGATCTGAAACAGTATATGCATATAAAATAAATTTGATATTTGATCTGGTTGAGTGCCCAAGTGTTTCCTTGCCAATTATCATAGTAAAAACATCACTGAAACGCCATGTTATCTCTGTTTCAACCCAGTTGTCCATCAGGGAAATCAATAATATTACAGTTCTTATCTACCCCTGCCATAATAATATCAACATGGTTAATTGTTGAAAAATGTCATTTGTTAGGTTAAATGTATCTTTAGATTGGTCAACTATTTTGAATGGAACAAGCGTTGTTATTGCTGGATTCTGGAAATGACCTTGGCTTTAGTACAACATGTTATTTGCTTTCCTTATTCCATGATTCTTAAAAAAAAAAAATCAATTTTTCATACTGACTTTTGACCTTTTCATCTGCTGATTGGTTTGTTTCTTCTGTTCAGGTGTTTAATCTCCCATGCTAAAAGAGTATAGGTGCTTTCAAATGGTGTTATCCCAGGAGGTGCTTGTCAATATGTTTCGTAAGGAATACAATGACTCGCAATGAATGCTTTGTTCTGTTATTTCCAATCGATACTTCTCAAACTTCGCATAGAGCGTTCATCTGATGCCCAATCTCCCACTAGACCATGATAAACTGATTGATCTCAGAGTTCCCACCAATGGAAATGGCAGCTCAGTTTCTAAATCACACATTCAAGTCCTCCCTCGCCCCTTATTGAAAAGAGTTCCTGGCCTGCCTCTTATGAAAAAAAGTTCCTCCCTTGCCTATGTTACAGTTTGCTGCTTGACAATGTATGACTATAGATATCAACATGTGCATTCTTTAGTAATATATTGTTCTTAACACATGCGCACCCATGAACTCTTGTCTAGATGTATCTTGCAAATAATATATCTAGTGTTGTATGCTAATTCATGCTAGGAGAGTTGTGATCTACCCCTCCTTTTGAGG